TCGAAATCTATTTAGTGAAAGAGTAAATAAATAAATAGCATATCCTCTCAACAAAAAGCATTGCCACAACAAAGTAAGGAGGGAGAATTAATGATGTGGGATGCTACAGTCGGCATGGCAGAATATGCATTTACAAAAATTCTATATAATTTTTTTTTTTTTTTGTCAAAGCGTGTTTTCAAATAAATTTGGAATTTGTTAATAAATCTGAAAATCAAAGAAGTTGTGCATGTACCATCTAAATAAAAAATACGCACACTTTAAAATTGGTGTTATTTAATGAGATTGTGCGTGTTCATACTTGTCTGGTTATCAGGTTATTCGGTTAAAAATTTGTATTCAGTAGTGCATTTTATTGTGGTGAACTGAATATAAATTACATAGCCAGATAACCGGACAGGTGTGAACACCCACATTGTAGAATTATTTCCAATATTTTGTTGCTCAAGAACGACGTTTTTAAAAATTGTTTATAAATAAATATTGAAAAAAAAATAATCAAATAAAAATAAATATGCATTGAAAAAGATGTCAATAGAAACTGTGGCATAAGAAGAATGAGCGTTGAATTTCATCGAATTCTATGAAACAGATAATCAGATATAAAGAAACAAAGAAAAAAGCTCGATAAGGATTCTTTATGTCAATAACTAGCAAGTTAAGGGCTGTTTGCAGAAAAACGAAAAATTCATATAAAATGACGCACAAGAAATGGAAAATAATGTTTTTGCTATCAAAATTTCTTTAATCAGTTTGCAGCTCTCAAGAAAAAAATGCTCTTATATTCATTTCTTCAAAAAAATTTACATAAAAACAAAGAACTTTTTCAAGCAACAGAAATAATGAGAATTATTTCTTGAAATCTTTCTTGAGAGCTGCAAATAGCTCGCTAATATTCGTAATGTTTTTCGAGCTAATTTTTTTTGTGCTTTAAAAATACCGTCCAAGCTTTACCCAAAAACATATAAATCACAGTTTCAAATTTTATAAAAAAATTTAGGAAAAGTCAACAAATTTTCATCAAAATCTTAAACTTTTTAATCTTAATCTTTAGAACATTTTTGGATATGCAGTTTTATCGCCCATACAATTTTAGTCCAATGAAGTGCAAGTTTCAACTGACTAAAAAATCGCGTTGGTTTTTGAGAACTTTTTTTGGAGACTACTTTTTCGGTTGAGCTATAAAACTGCATACCCAAAGATTTTCTAAAGTTTCAGATTAAAAAATTGATAATTTGATAAATTTTCCTAAATTGTGTATAAAGTTTGAAACTGTGCTTTACATGGTTTTGGTTAAAGCTTGGACGGTTTTTTATAGAAAAAAAAACAAACAAAAATTTAGCTCGAAAAACCTTACGATGGGATTTGAGCAGGCGTTTATGGCCCCAGACTGGAGCTTTCGGTGCCCCTGGGAACCTTCTCTAGCATCTTTCAAGCGGAGGAGGTCTATGGCATCAGTATGTGTGCTGAGATTAACTTTCGAAGAAATTATCGAAGCGAGAGGATACTCATTGCGAGCGATAATCAGGCGGCTATTAAGGCTCTCTCATCATTCGAGATCAAGTCCTCTTTGGTTTTGGAATGTGTAGAGAGGCTTAATGCTCTGGCTGATATTAATGATATTCAACTGACTTGGGTACCAGGGCACATGGGGTCGAGGGAAATGAGGAAGCTGATCAGTTGGCCACAGCTGCCGTTGCTTCGACCCCGATAGGACCTGAGCCCTTCCTTGCAGTGGGACCCAACACCATAAAGGAAATGCTTAGAAAGGAAAATACCAAATCGAGGGAACTGCACTAGCGTAGCCCTATAGGTCTACGTCGGGCAAAAAGCTTATTAGAAGGGTACAATATGAAGAGATATTGGCTACTCATGGATCTCCCCAAGGAGAAACTAAGAATCATTACAGGTATTTTGACGGGTCATTTTGAAATTTATAGAGCCTCTAGGGCTATTGGAGGTGGTTTGATGAGCTTAGGGCACAATAGACCTACCGGTTGCAGTGCAACAATTACATAATTAACAATTCGTAAAAATTTCAAGCTTTGTCTTATAATAAAGATTTTGAATATGCCCAAGGGCTGTCTCTGCAGCAACACTACAACGAGATTAAGTTCACAATAACGGTGGCTGCCGAAATCGAGTGGTTAGAGGTGCATGCTACTACTCGGCAGGACGCAGGTTCGATCTTTGGTCCGAACAGAATCCAAGATTTTTTTTTCTATCAGCGGTCGGGCCCTCCCAGTACTTTTCTGCCATAAAAAAAATCTCTAGAAAAAAATAATTTGTATGTTGCTCCAATCAGGAGTCTAGGTCCTGCCGGTTGAAAGCACGCGCCTCTAATTACTTAAAATTTTCTCAAACAAAATACCCAGCTGTAGAGTGTACAACTAAAACAATTTGAAGGCGCCTAAAGATCTACACTCGCATAGTCGAAAAAAACAGCAACAACAGCAACAACACAGCAAAAGCGATAGTGCTCAAATAAACGATCTATTCATTGTGCAACGGAAGATTTTTCTCTTTAGCAAAAAATGTTTGAACAAAATTCAAAATCAAAATCAGGAAAATAAAACGAAAAACGGAGTGAAAATGACTTTCCACCGATGGATGATGGTCAGTGAGTGTCGAGCAAAATCAATAGCAAATAGTCTGCGGCTGTTGTTCAAGCGAAACGCTGGTGAAAATAAATAAATATAGATACTGTACAAGAGTGTTTTTTTGTTTTTTGTTTTTAAGAGGTGGGTGTTTTTCTTAAAATTTTTAATAGAGAAATTAATTAATTGTGGCAAGACAATGCAAAGGTGGTTAGAGGAAGCAAAGAATTAGTATGTATATGTTTTTAATTATAATTATAATTTTTTTTTTTTTTTGATTATGTACTTGCTATTTGTGATATTTGTTGTATAAATTTTGGAAATTATGTAATCTTTGAGAACTTTTTAAGCAGCACTGGAATAATGCAATATTTAATACGAAAGCAATAAGCAAAGTAGCTGAGAAAACTGCTGTAAACACAAATATCTTATATAATTTCCGTGTTACATTCGTTTCGAAGCGCTAACACACAAAAAAAAACATGAAAACATGAAGGCTGTTTTTTTGTTTGCTGCTAAATAGCTGCTAGTGTTGTTGTTTTCGTTCATCAGCACACATTTAGTTTTTAATCTATTGTGCCAATGAGGAAGTTAATCATCAGAAATATTTTTGTTATATACTCGTCAGTGCTAATTTTAAAAGTGATTATTTGAGACTTGAGTGTCAATAAACAGTTATTTATTTGCGTGCGTTGTACAGGTACCAAATCAGAAGAGCCTAAAATAAATATTTGTAAATAGTTTAAATAAAATTTTCATACAAAAAAAATATAAAAATTAGTAATAGTGTGAAAAAACTCTTATATATACTCAAGGTCTTCAAACATGGGATTCGTATGTATGTAGGCGGATTTGTATATACTACTTATGTACTGCATGTATGTATTTGTAAATATGTGCCTCGTGTTTTTCTCTGCGAGCTAATCTACATATATCCATGCATTTTTGCAAATGAGCTCTTTTCGAGAAAATCAAAAGGTGGTTTTCAACTTTTCCGTACTCACGGAGAGCAACAAGCGCCCGACGTTATTTTTTGTCTTTAACTTTTCTTTTGGTATGTACTTGGCATTAACGCCACTGTTTTTGAAAAAACATGAAAACTTATTTTGATTGCGACAATAAAACGACTAAAAACATGAAAAATAAAAACTTGGTAAATACCTCGACGCCCACGCAATATTTTGAAAGTGAATGTTTTTCGTATAAATATAGGTACATACGAGTATGTACATAAGTATGTACATATGTAAAAGAGACAGATATGAATTAGAGTAGCTCAAGTCGAAAATATGTAGATGAATGATTTTAAATAAGTGCAAAATTTAGACATTTACAATATGCATAATGCAGCTTAAGGGCCAGTTTTTCAGTGCCAGTTGAAACTTAGATTAAGTAAACTGAGTTTAAATTGAACAGCCGGCTGATCTTAGTTTAAACCAGCCAGATCGGGCATTTAAACTTAGTTTAAACCACGGCCGTACACTGAAAAAATGGCCCTAAGACCCACATTTTTTTGGTTATGACATCAAAGAAGAGGCCCCTTGTTGAAAATGTCATAAGTACAAAACATCGTTTAACTGTTATTGCAATACTTAAGTGAACTACATAGCTGCTTGAATAATAATAAACATTTACGCATAACTTTCTGGTGCAAAAGCTACACCCCGCTTCACTTGAATAAGCACATTATTTTTTTTTCGAGAATCGGGCTTCTGAGTAACCGATCAGCTACGTTGCGGTCCCATTTTTAACGAGTATCGCTTTTAAAGAAAACTGGTGAAAAATAAGAAAATATATTGGATAGTTTTAAAAACTTGATGAATATCTCCTTACCACTTTGAACGCCTGAAAGGGATAGACTACTAATCTTTAAATGGACCGTTCGACTCGCAAATTTTGCTAAATAGCAAACTCCAAAAGTTTTTCAGTAAAGTTATGTACAATCCGGTTTATAAAGTACTGAAAACAATTAAATTTAGCTTCGCTATCCTTGATTTTACAGCTTTCGTGATGCTAATCAGACAATCATTTTGCTGATGTATTCAAAAAAATAGTCTGAGAAGCTGACCTCACCATGGATCTTCTGTAATTTCTATCCAGCCTTGAGGTTTTAGTTCCACTTCATAATTCATTCTCGAATTCCCTAATTTTTGAATTTTTACAGTTAAAAGTGGGACTGTTTGTCCCATTCTCGCTCTGTGATAGTTGGAAATATTCTTTAAGTGGTTCAAAAGCTGTTCAGTAAGTTCGATTATTGAAGCAAAAAATGTGTTTATTTAAGTTAAGCGGTGATGTACTCTACAACAGAGCCAAATTTTGTTTAATAAAATATTTGTCACAAAAAATTCAATCTCTATCTATCTTCTAAAAATAGTAATACCTCAGTTGCATTCGTTTTTAATGATGGAGAAATTCATGACGACGGGTCGTCCACAGCGTAATCGTCGACATAGCAGGTGCGTGTGTGTATGTGAGTACACAATGCTGACGTGTTAAATAGTTTACACTGGATTCATTGCATTCTAATGAATAATTTTAGTATTTAAATTTTATGCAAATTGCTAATAATCGTTTTTCTTGTTATAGTTGCGCTGTTAGCTAACACGAAATTCCTATATTGGCTGCCTGCTGTTTTGTTCTAACTGGTTGATTGTATACTTAGTGCGTTTTAACTGACAAATGTATGTATATGTGCATAAAATTAAAGATTAATTACTATTGCATGCTTTTTTACCACTCGATTTTATAAAATGCTGCGCTTGAAAGTGATTTTTGGCATAAAGAGCATAATTTGAATTCAATTTGCGTAGCTGTTCTGGTAACACATTGCTCATCTTTAATTTGAGTATATCTCTGCAAATGTACTGAAATGTTGTCGTAAGAGTAGCAGCGAAAGCCAAGTCAAGGATCGATCCAGTTGTATACCTGGTCAAGGATTTATCCTCCGGCAGCATTCCCTTTTCAGTTTTTCTTTAGTTTTTAAAGCTACAACAGATACTAATACATATATCAGAAAAATTGTTAAATAAATAAATTAATAAAATACTCTTTTCAGACGTGCCTGGCCACCAGAGGATGACCTACATCAAGCGCGCCTGGTGAAGCGGCTTTTTACACCCGAAATAAAGCGTATGCTTAAGGACTGGCTTGTGCGGCGACGCGAAAACCCATATCCAAGTCGGGATGAAAAGAAACGCTTGGCCAATCAAACTGGCCTAACGTACACACAAATTTGTAATTGGTTTGCCAATTGGCGGAGAAAGCTGAAAAATTCTGAGCGTGAACGTAGCAAAACATCTTGGGGTCATCTTATTAAGCATTACAATACGAATGCACGTGGCAATGTGGAACAATTTAGTATATCCTCGGAGGATAGCATTTGGGGAGAAGATGAATTGGAACGGGATGGGGATGTGTACAAACGAAGTGATGAGGATGAATATGCGAGACGTGAAGATGGTATTTCTAGTGGCACTGAAGGGACTGTGAGCTCTTCGAGTGGCGGTTGTTGTTATAATTTTGCTGACAGGAGTAGGCCTAAAATGAGTGGTTTTTTGAAAAATCAAATTTGTGATAAACGAAATACAATAACAAATACTCTTATTACCGCCCATGAGCCAACAGCAAGTAGTATCCCTGATCAAAACACAAATTCATGCCAACAATGGATGAGTGGCGGCAAACAACACGCTACGGAGAAACCAATATCAACCCCTAACAACGCAAAGTACAAACAGAAAATGATGGAAAAGTATTTGCGAGACACGCGTGATGCGCAAACTGCAACCGGAATGCCACAGCAGTCGGTGCCCGCACACACCAGCCGTGATGAGCTAAACAAAGCTGGCGTGCACAATGTTGATAGTACGGCACTGACAAAATGGTTGGAGAGTGCAGCACGCTTTACGCCCGATAAGAACAATTATTTTATCGAATGGAATGGCAGAACGTAAGCATTTTGAAATGTCGATATTTAAATATTTGTTATATTTAATTGAACTCCCTTTTCAGAGGTAAATTGGAACGTAAGCAGCGCACAAAGCAACTACGCCGCGTCACCATTATACCAGCCAACTCCAGCATCCTGCAACGTAAATCTGCTTATTCCTGCCCTACACAATTAGAGCTGGACGCCGCTGAGGCATTAGCCAATATGGCATTTAACTGTCGACAGCGAATGTTGGATTGCAGTCCTGCCGGTGGTGCGAGTCTGAAGACTGTCAATGCAATTAGTTCCTAGTGATAGCTCCTAACAACCAGTTGCATACATATGTACATATGAGAACGAAAGAAAGCATTCCAGTGTAAATTTTGGGTGCCAAAGACTATACGAAATTAGATAAATTTTCATCACTAAAAAATACCTAGACTAAACGGAGTTCAAAAGACAAGTAAATGTGTAAAATGAGCAGGTGAATAAAGTAAAATATGAATAAAAAATCTTAAAGAAATATGTGTGTATGTATTTAATGTTGAAATGGGTGAATATAGTGATAAATTAAATAATCAGGCAAGGTCTTCAATTATTTGAATTTTTAATTAACAGGTATTGGAATTCACTCGCAAGTGAATTGCAGGACCTGCCTAAAAAATTTTAAAGAAAAAATAGAATTTCAGCATAACTTAAAATGTTATCAAAGTAAAATTAGTAGATAAAACAAAACTATAAATGATATATAACTAAAACAATCAGCATTGAACGCACGAAACCTAATGATTACTTCATACAAATGTTAAAGGCCAGTCACAGTTTCGTTCTGGGTGTCTTTACAGTTGAAGAGAATAACTTAAACTTTAACAAATATTAAAATAAAATAAAAAGCTAGAATAGGCAATACATTCAAGAAAATAGATAAAATAAAATAAACCAAATAAGGATAGAGAATTTTCTATGAAATGAAAAGAAATGAAAATCCTATTACCTATTGCTATGGCTCCATGCAAGTTTTGTTAGCTGTTTTAACATTTCTAGCAGGATGTCTGGTATATTCTCGCACTCGCAAAAGAATTCCTCTGTTATTCATCATTTTCCCTGGTTTGTACAATATATTCCGTTAAAATTAGTTTAAACCATTTCATATTTTAGCAAATTCCATATTCGTTATTTTTCTGATTTCAATTAAAACTTCACTTTACGCACTAAAAATGTAACTTAATTTCACGCTTTCTCTATTTCATTCGCTTCCTTAGCCGGTTTGGTTGTTTCCGGTTCACCCTTGGCGTACACATCAAGCACATTTACAAAATTTTTCTGATGTGTTTCTAGTTGCTGCACTACATTGCTAGCTGCCATGTTGAGAGTTTGTACAAGTTCTCCTTGAGCCGCCTGCAGACCTGGCAATTGTGCATAGGCCATAAACTCATTTCGACTAAGTAGACGCTCATCAACTATTCCCGCCAGCAATATCATCTGTGGCACACGGCGTGTTATTCGTAGGAGCTGTCCAACACGCTGCTCTGTCGAAAATACTATACAGTTTTTGCTTTCAAATAGTGGTAGGATGGCTTCGAATCGCGTGCCCTCAACGGCTTTGCGTACAATTTGTTTACCATAGGATTTAAGATGCATATTTTGTTTGTGTAATTTTACACGCACTTCAAAGAGATCATCTTGTTTAATCGAGTTGAGGTGATAGAAGCCAATCAGACGTGAATGTTCCAGCCAATTACGTACTTCTCGCGCAATGACCGCAACATATGGATTCTCTACATCAGCTTCCCGTTGGCGGCGTTGAAAACAAGTGATTTCCTTTTTAGGTTCCTCCAGCGTTGGCAGAGTTTGTGCGACGGCAAGCACCTTGGCGCGCTCATAGTGTGGTGCACGTGGTCGTTGTATATTGATTTTACCACGAAAACGTTGTGATTGTGTGATAGGTGTGCGACAGGATAGTAAAGCTACTAAAAGATAAATTTAAGTAATCAGGAGGCAATGTTGTGTTGTATAACAAGGATGGAAGCCTACAGGCCTTCTACCACCTACCTTGACGGAACAGCTGTGACATTGTGGCTTTCTGTGTTTAGTTTTGTATGTGTGTTGTCGCGCCAGACAATTGAAAGTTCACTTCTTTCTTTCAAATTTATGAAATAATTAACACAAATCACAAATATCAAGCAAGAATTTCTACACACGAGCCCAACGCCGCTATCACAATAAAACAGCTGATTGCGAATTACGAAAATTTTTTGTGCCCGTAGGTGTTCACAATAGCAAAGGCAACCATTGTGAGTGATTTGAGGAAGTTGTCGAAAAGGGAAGGAAGTTATTTGAGTTCGAAAACCCGTTACTGCAATTCGAAAAGCAAACGAAGAGATGTCGAAACAGAAATTTTGTTGCTCATCCAGAGAATGTAAGGAGTGAAAACTTGTGCATTTATTAAAAATAAGTGTATGCATACATATATACATATCTATATTGTTATGTACCTGCAGATTATTCATTGACGAATAATTTGGTGGAAACGTTGATTATAATTCCACGCGTAGTCGTTTGCAAAAAACTGAAAAAGGGGCAAGTATATACGCAAACAATAACCATCAAAAATAAAGGATTGGTAAGTTTTCTTCAAATAAGTTGAATTATTTAAGATTTTATTAATGAACAACTTAATGGAATTGATTGCGAGCTCTTTATTTTGCACTTTTTCACTATCTTCCTTTTAGTATCCACGCAACTTGATATATGCGACTGATAGTCTACAAGATACAAAAATTATTTTTCCTCCTGACTGGGAATATGACTACTTGCAACCCGATGAAGTTATTGAAATAAAGGTTCTGATAACTCCTACCTCGAATAGCGTGCATACTGATTACAGACATATTTATATTCAATCGGAGCATCCAAATATAACTTTTGAAATACCCATAATTGGTAAGTCTGTGTTTATCCGTTTTGTGGGTTCAAAACGAAAGTGCTGTAATTTGACACCCACCTGCATTAAACTTAGCTGCCAAACCTAATGTGTTTTTTATGTCAGTAGTCTTACATTTAAGAAAATAGGTAACATACGAAAATTCCATCATTGCATCCGAATTGCTAGGAATGTAACCATGTAATTTAATATATACGTTCGTAAGTAGTCAAATTGGATCAAGACACACAACTGTGCTTTACATCAAGATGTACACAATAACGCCAATTCATCTAAGCCATTAACCCCGGAGAAAATCTCCATGCTGATGCTGAAGAAACTATGACCGCCAGGAGTCGAGTATATCAGCCGCTTTCAAAGTGCCCATCCCAGAATCTGGGAAGGGAATTGATGACTTGTGTTCGAAAGTAAATGGTTACCTCTCCGAACTTTCTCTCTTCTTCACTGCAAGGAGCCTAACCCTCTCCCTTACGAAATCCTTGGCAACCCTTTTTACCACCTGGACGAAGGATCCGATGGTGAATAACCTAAAAATCCTCGGAGTTACCTTCGAGAGTCTGCTTTCCTTTTCGACGCGATAAGGCACTCAAGTCGCCCGTGTGGTCACCGGGGGTTAGCAAGACGCAGTGGACGAAGTCACAAAAATTCTAGAACACGGCACTCCGGACCGCTACAGGATGCCTCCTGATGACGCCTCAACACCACCACGGCGAGGCCCAGATGCTCCGTAACAGGGAGCATAACACAATGCCGGCAAGCAGCTCTTAGTAGGGTGACACAGACGCGGGCACCCGAACAGACAACTGCTTGTAGAAGGGAACTCGCCAAGGTACGTCAGGAGGCATCTTTACAAACTAACAGACGAAGTCCAGAGTTTCATTAAAAAAAACTCTGGATCCAATTGTATACCGACAGGTCTTAAACGCCATTCACAGGGAGTCGGTCTTGAGTTATATAGACTCCCGAATTGTGAATGCTGTTATGGGCACACAGCCACCCGACGTGGACGAGACAAAGCTTTGTCTGCCTCGGAAGACTCGCACCATAAGGTTCCCAACCTCGCTCTAGCCACTGCAGCAGGCTAGACCCGTACTTGAGCAGAGTGAACACAGGGCACCTCTTAGCATGCCTTAAAAACCCCACCCAGCTAACCTGTCCCTATGAGCAGACCCGGTGGAAATTGCACACGCCCCCCCTTAGCAACGGACAAGCCGACCCGAGCGGGGTTTAGTAGCCGCTGCAACAACAACAACAACAACAGCAAACCATTCCAGAGGTATGAAAATAAATCATATAAACCCATCTCCCTCCTCTCCCCTGTGCAAAAACTAGGGAAGCACTTCTCCTGCCCAGTCTGACTAAACATCTAAAACTAGCCGAATACCAGCATGAATTCCGCAAAGTGCACGTCACCACCACAGCATTAAACATCATCACCACACAAATAAGTAAGAGCCTGAGTCAACGTCGGCCCCTTTCTAAGGCATCTTGGACTCATCGCTCTCAGATCGGAATTAAAGGAGGATAACCAGATATCTGTATGGAAGTCAATCGTCCAGTTGAACTCAGAAATTCAAAGCCGCGTAGAATTAAATATGGCGTCCCTTACTACTATTAGCAACTGTGGGTCACCCCAAAAATTTGGGAGTTTCATTCGATAGCCTTTTCTCCTTCACTGCGCATACCACTGCCACTTGCAACAGACTACTTTCCACGAACAAGTTCCTCAAGTCGCTAGCTGGCAGTACCTGGTGAGCCGACAAAAATACCCTGTTAGCAACATATACGTCTAGCAGGTCCTTCGCAGGAGAATTTCAGTATCTTCTTCTCAGTTGCCATGCTTTCGCTCGGTCTAAGGTTTAAACACCTAATATTTTATAATATTTTATTAAAACTCCCAAGAAACTCCCTTGGTTGGACATCAACTGCCTGTGGAATGTCATTTTGAGCTCCAGCATTATTCACAGCCATCCTATTGCTACCAATTAGCGTTCCAGAAAAAATCCTTCTATTAAGTGGCATTACAATGGGCAATAAAAACTATGTCTAAGTGATTCCTTCGCGGGATCTTCTCCATTTAACCTAGGATAGGTGTAGATTATATGTGTTAAATAATTTAATATTTATTTTTAATACAGTCTTGAGAGCAAAGGATCATTGCTATATACCCAAATCCATTGACTTTCCATCCTCGGTACCACAAGAATATGCCTACTACGAGTTCGTTGCCTTCAACCCAACGAACGATACGCAAACTGTTGTTGTAAAGAGGTAATGATTTACTCAAAAAAATAAACGTAAAAATTTCTATATGCACTCTCATTAATTGAGTAGCCCACCGCAGAATATTAAGGTGACTCAAACGAAAAAAGGCATTCCAAAGCATGACTACATTAGGATATTACTAACTCTCAAAGTAGCTGATGACAATATTATGCAAGATGTCATTAAGCTCAAAATTGATTCTTGTAAGTAAAAAATTAATAAATAAAAAATAAAGGTGATCCACTCTAATGACTTATTTTTTATTTTCTAGTATTTTATGAAACAAATATAATGCATGAGCCAGTTACGAACTCCTTATACCTTAACACAAATAAATTAACGTTCGAAGAATTGAAATATGAACGAGAATCAAAACTTACTGTTATGATATGTAACGAATTTATGGCGGAAAAAGATTTAATTGTAACGTTTCTTACCGATCCAACTCAATTGCAAGAAAATCCACTCTTCAATATAAATCCAATGCGCTCCCAACAATCCTCCATGACGAATATTAACGTTTATTCTACCAATACTTACATACCGATCGATGATGATGAGCTCAATTTTTTTGCTTATAAGCATTTCAAAATCGAAACCGAGGTACGGATCACAAACAAAAATATTTTGGTAACCGAAATAAGGTATTTTCCAGGGTTCGTATTTGCACACACATGCGCAGCACATCCTAACATTTTACGCTCACACACGTGTGCTGTGCATATAAAAAATTAAAAACTTGCTCACATCACATGTGTGTGCTGTTTGGTAAAAAGCACGGGCACATGTGTGTACTTAATTTTTATTAATATAAAGCACACGCACATATGTGTGCTTTGCGTAGAGAAACTTATACACCAGGCGAATTTATATAAGGTGGTGTTACTAGGTCAGCTGATTTTGTGTATGTGTTTCGCTCATATATGTAATATTGGCAGTAAGCTAACTTCTCAATGTATTAGCATTCCGAAATCAAAGCGAGACAGTCTAGTACCGTTTTTGTCAATGTATTGTGTACTTGGGTGCCGTTTTTGTATATGTGTTGTGTACATGTTTATTTATAAACGTATGTGTTCCTTTTCTTTCGTACGTGTTTATTGATATATCTGTACTGTAGTGTTTTCGGACGGTACTAGCTCGTACTGCCAATATAGGAGTATTAGATATATGGTTTCGCCCCACGGCTTCTAATGTCAAATTGAAAAATTTTGTTTGAATTTCCACACACACACTTACAGATTTTGACAGTTTATGCCGCCAAAGCAAAAACAAAATACATGTAAATTTTTGTTTTTGTTCTCCTGCTATCACCTTATATTAATTCGCCTTGCTTATACACTTCGATTTCTATCTCAAATCTTAAAATAATTTTTTAATATGTTTTCTGTCATATAAAAAACAAACAACACCTCACTTGTTATTGAATTGTCTTTCAAAAAATAACGTTTAATAAACAAATTCTTTTAAAAATATATTATGTGCATGTGCATGGGCTGAAATTTGTGCAAAAATCGGCTCACACACATGTGCATGTGCTTAATAACAAACAGCACACACTTTTCTGTGAGCAGAGTTTGTTTTCCACTTATGCACACACATGTGTATGAGCAGTGAGTACAAGTTGAATGTGTTTCTGGCGTGTGTGTGAGCAGAGCATGTGTGTGCAAATACGAACCCTGGTATTTTCTGGTAGATATACTATTTTCGTGGCGAAAATACCAAAACAAGTTAACAAGTGAAGTGTACATTAGACCCCGTACCACCTTACAAGCAAACTAAAAAAAAAGTTCGCCATACACCTTCAAGTCTAAAATATTTTTGCAACGCAATTTGGAAAAAAAATTTTTGGTCGCTTTTTTATCTTTTTCTACGTCTACATTCGGCAATAAAATTTTTTTTTAAATAGTTCTGAAATCTTCAAAACACTTCCTTAGCAAAAGTTTATGGATTTTTGAAGAGCTTTGATTTACTGACATTAGGGTGGTACGTTGGGGTGATAAGAACAGAGATCTGGTGGGTAAGTACAGAGTACTTGAGGTCAATGAACTTTGGAATGAAAACATTTTCTCCTCGAGACTGCAAATGCCAAACAACTTTGGCCTTGCAGAAATATTTTAGTCTGTGGGGTGTACGGCGAACTTTTTTTTCTGGGACGGTTTAGTGTACATATCAATTGAAAATGTCTTTGCCCACACTTTTTCTAGAAACTAACAATCAGCGGTCGAAGCTCAAAGGAAATAACTGTATGCTTTCATCCGGTTATGTTGCCCGAGTGCGATTTCAGTGATACTACTTTGCCACCGTTCAGAGTGCGTACAAGACTATTTTTTACCGTTACCAATGAGATGGTGCCCTATCGCAAATCATTGATGCTCAAAGGCTTTATCAGTGGCCCTGAAATCGAACTTAAACCAAAAGAAATACGACTGCGTAAAATTTACATGGGCGAAGAACATTGTGAGCTTATAAATGTTTTGAATGTCGATGGTGAGTGGGCAAAAGGTGCAATGTTAGCTAAAGTTATCGAAATTTTCGTCTAAAGTCATTAACTAATAGCACAATCCGTCATTTGTGGTTTTTAACTTTCTTAAATATTTAGATAAAGTAAATGCTCAAGTAAAATTCAAAGATGTTTTGCACCCCGGCACTGCTTGTGCATTAGTAAAACCGGAAGAGGGTTATGTGTTGGGACCAAGCGAAAGTGGTGTCTTCAATATCTCTTTTTTCTCACGAGTCATTGGAGCTTTTGTAGTGAAGCTGCGATTCAAGGTCAAAAATGGCGACGTTTTCGAAGTCAATGTAAAGTGAGTATTTATGAAAATTATTTTCAATAAAATTATTAGAGAGTATGGTATGGTGTGTATTAGGCTAGATCAGCAGAGACAGCTTTTACTAAGCGCGCGTTAATTGAAAATGCACAGAAGGCTCGAAACAGATCCACTTGTAGACAATGCGATGCCCATTACTAGATCTAGATTAGTGTATGAAATTTTTCCGTCCTACATTTCGTGTAATTCATTTAAATAAAACTCAACATACCTAAACTCAGCTAAAAACATAGGAGATTTTCAAATTTGTTTAACTCCCATCAAAATATTTTCAAATTAAAACTTTCCTAAACCTCTTTCTTGTGATACGTTTTCAATTAACTTATTCCCTGAATTCAAATCCAATTTATTTTTCAAACAGGGGGCAACCCTGATATATATATAGCTTAGAAATAAAGCCTATTCAGAACCATTTGGATTGGTACCCATATTGTAAAAATTCATTCAACCCATTAAATAACTTAATTTGAATTTAGTTTTAAAACAGGTGGCAACTCTCTAGGAATACCTCAGAAAATTCCATGTTCAAAATAAAGATGTCTGTTTCAAACTGCAACCTTATTAAACTCCTTTCGTTCGACGCCCATATTTTGATACATATTACAGTTACCTAATACAAGTAAAATTTAATTTTTCAAATAGTTGGCAACCACGCAGCTTAGAAATAAAACCTTTTCAAAACCATTTCGATTGATAGCCATTTTAAAATAATACATTTAATTTATTTTTTTAACCAAGTGGCAACCTCTATAAAACACTACAATAATATTCCAAATGTCCAAACTAAAGGTTTCTTAACAATCTTCCGTTGGACACCCATATTTAAATTTTTCATATAGCTTGCAAATAATTAATCTAAATTTTCAAGCAGGTGGGAACCCTTTCCAAAATATTTTCAAACTATACCAAAGTCCTGCCAACTTGGTTTGGATTTAGTACGACTTATTGATTGATAAACACGTTTTTTTCTGGATAGGAAAGCTTATGCATAAGTTTAGTGTATACTTCTTTGGTAGACACAAACTTTCGAGGTTTCTGAGTTTTCAATTTCAAGTAATACATTCTCGAAAATAAATTTATAAACAAATTGTCATTCCTATATTTTTAGGGGCCACTCGATAAACGCAAGACTCAAAATGTTTCCAGAGGTATTGGAGTACGGTACTATACCATTTGGTATACCATGTAAGCGACTAATGTTATTGGTAAATCCATTTTTGGTACCTGTTGCGGTACAAGTTACCGTTGGCGAGGATGGCGAAGAAACACCGCTTGTGCTTAATGTAGACAATGCTGATGGATTACAACCGATAACTGTTAAAGATTATATAGCTGCTATGATGGCGATGTCGGATGACGAAGATGATAAAGGTAGTCAAGGCGAACGGACGATAGAATTGATAAGTAAAACGGATTCATTGCCGTCATACCGTTCGGTCGGTACAGAAATTTCTACGTGTAGTAGCCATTTTGAAGAAGAAGTCTTAGGTAAATGAGCGCATACATCATTATATAAATAGGCAATCATGTTTCCTTTACACCCCTTTTACGGCTAAACTATAATTCTAAGGTATAGACAATTATATATCATTAGAAAGGTATTTTGATGCTGATGTGCAGGCAATTTTTAAAATTTCAAATTAGTTTAAAATAGAGCGAAAAAATCAAATCAAAAGTCACACCAATACCAATGCCATACATGTACATGGTTGGGGCGGAAATGCCCCCTAAATGTATGCTTTAATATTGATAGCGAATTAAAGAAACGTGCTAAGCAGCAGTTCAGGAATAAAATGTATGTATGTATGTACATGAATAGATTAGACTCAAACAAGGAAGAAGGTAAAGTTGAGTATGGAGAAGAAGAAAGTGATAAATACAGAAATTAAAATAAAAGTAAAGAAACCGAGATATAAAGACAAAGAGGAAGGAAAATTTAAATACCTAACCTAATAACAATGGTGGGGGTGAATATGTAAATGAAGAAAAGAATGGACATATTTAGATCAGGATAAAGGAAAAGATAAAGATGAAGATGAAGATGAAGATGAAGATGAAGATGAAGATGAAGAT